TACATTATTGTTATTTTTTTCCAACCAGGAATGTCCTAAGAAAGCGTTTTATCACAGGAAAAGGACCTTCATAAGGGGGCTCAAAAATTTTTTTTATTCTATCGATTCGAACGAAACATGTGTGCACGTATTTAAGTCAGCTGGAATGTATGGCGTGATTGTGACTGGTTTCCTTTCTTGCGAACGAATGTTCTGAAAATGGTCACGAAGTTTTTTAATAAAATCTAATGGATCAGTATTCGTGTTGCTGCGTGTAGTTGGAAAAATTGCACCTGAAACCTTAATATTTTCACAATACAACATTTCAGCCGGTGTTCCGCGAATTTCTTCCATAAAGGTGGTCCGTAGAGCTGTCAAACTATCGACGATACTATCGATAGTATCGATAGTCTGATCCCACGACAGCCGGTTCTACGTACCGGAATGACTCGGGTTTTACCCGACCAAGGGCTGTTGTTTCGGCGATCTAACCACCCTACAGACCACAGAACACACACAACCGCACCACCACCTACACGCCGCCGCCAACAACTCCTGGTTCCTCCTACAATCTGCACGGTATGTCAGACCAGGATATTCCGTAATGTGACATCAGTCAAGTGCAACACCTGCCTTGCTGGTGCCACTTTAGGGCATGCTCAGGTCTGCACACCACGCGAGATTGGACGAGGAACTTCGAGGGCCCGTGTTGCGCTGCTCGGTCACAGACCTCAACTGCGACGCCTTCCGCCACCACCACAGGGCGGCAACCACCTCAGCAGCGCACACAGCCAACTGCGGCACGACCACACACATCCCTCTCACCCCGCATCACCACACGTCTCCCGAACCACGTGAAGCTCCTTCAATTTAACGGTAACGGGCTTCAGAGTAAGATCAAGGAGATAACCGTCTTCATGGGTTCGTTCGTTTTATTGAAGCAGACATCGAACGCAGGGATACCACCCTAGAATGTCAGGGCATTGCTATCCGGTCAGGCGATGTTGAGCTCGAAATATTTAACGTTTATATACCCCCTGCCACCTTCTACCCGGCCGGATATCACCCTGACATAGGTGCGCTCCTCAGAGGTGAAGACCGTATGGTAGTAGGCGACTTTAATGCGCACCACGATCTTTGGCACTCAAGCCTGTCAAAGGATCGTAGGGGAACTGATTTGGCTGAGCAGATAGACGATTCGACATTCTGCACAATGAACGACGCCGCACCCACCAGGATTATGGGCAGCTGCTGCAGCTCGCCTGACATAACAATCGTCAGCGCTGGTCTGATAAACAGCATATAATGGCGACCTATGCTGACTTTGGCATCAGACCATCTGCCCATAGTCATCTCGATCGATAAACCAACCGACTTTGCTTCCGCGGAGCACCGAACATACATCAACTTTTCTAAAGCTGATTGGAAAGGCTTCGCGGAATTTACTGAAACCACCTTCTCTGCTCTCCCCACACCAACCGACGTCCACCTTGGTGAACGTAAGTCCCGCAGGGCTGTCACCGATGCTACAGCTCACTTCGTAAAGGCAGGATGTATCACCGACCCACGTCCAAATTTCCCTGCTGAAGCGGCTGTGCTAGCCGATGAGCGTGATAGCCTTCGTCAGGCCGATCCCGGAGATCAACAGTATTAGGGATCTCAACGCGGAGATTCGGCAACTAGTAAACGTACATTAGCGGTAGATGTGGGAAGAGCATCTGAAGACCTGTAACTTCACCTCTGGTGTGAGTAAGCTTTGGTCAACCGTGTCCAATCCGACGAAGCACGACGACAGAGTCGAAATTTCTTTCGGCGACCATGCTTCGTCGGACCCGGAATGATGCGCGAGCTATTTTAGCCGGCAGTTCATACTGCATCGTCCGGTGGACAAAGCCAAGCGTCGAGTGACCAGAAGGCTGCACAAACTGCCAACAACCTGTGCCCCCCTTGCTTTCACTTGCGGTGAAGTTTAGGTGGCCATCGGGAAGGCGATAGCCTCCAAAGCCATGGGTCCCGACGGAATATGCATGCTGATGCTGAAAATTTTGGGTCCTGCGAGGGTAGCGTACCTAACGGAGGTCCTCAATTTGTCTATGGCCACTCTCATCATCCCAGACATCTAAAAGGTGGGGAGAGTGGTCCCACTGCTCAAACCGGGGAAACCTGCCAACATAGGAGATTCTTATCCGCCGATAACACTCCTTTCCCCGGGAGCGAAGACACTCGAGGCCTTGCTGCTCCCGTATTTAACAAACCACTTCACCCCAGCGAAGCATCAGCATGGTTTCCGTAAAGTGCACAGTACAACAACAGCACGTAACGCCATAAACACTCAGATAACTCGTGACCTTAACCATAAACGTCCCTGTGAGAGAACGATTCTAGTAGCGTTGGACCTGTCAAGGGCTTTTGACACTGTCAGCCATTCCACGCTACTAGAAGATATAGAGGCTTCCTCTCTCCCACAGAGGCTCAAACGGTGGTCGGCAAATTATCTGAGTGGTCGACACTCGTCGGTAATGTTTAGAGACAAATCGAGCAAACTTAGAAAAATAAAACAGGGGTTCCACAGGGTGGTGTCCTCTCCCCGCTACTGTTTAACTTTTACATTTCAAAGCTCCCTCAACCACCAGAGGGAGTCTCGATTGTCTCTTACGCCGACGATTGCTCGATCATGGCGACTGGGAATGGAATTGATGACCTGTGTTCGAAAGTAAACGGGTATCTCTCTGAACTTTCTCACTTCTTCACTGCAAAGTGTCTAGCCATCTCCCCTTCGAAATCCTCTACGACCCTGTTCACAACCTGGACGAAAGAGGTCAGGCTACCGCTAGGAATTCACGTCGTTGACACACCAACTCCGACGGTGAGTAATCCTAAAAGACTCTGAGTAACATTCGACAGCCTGATCTCCTTCTCTGCGCACGCAACCGCTATTGTCAATAAAGTACAGAGCCGCAACAAGGTCCTCAAGTCGCTAGCCGGCAGTACTTGGGGCAAAGACAAAGAAACGTTGCTGGCAACATACAAGGCAATAGGCCGGCCGGTTTTAAACTACGCAGCACCAGTGTGGTCGCCGGGGACTAGTAGGACGCAGTGGATGAAGCTACAGACGGTACAAAACACAGCACTTAGGACAGCGACCGGATGCCTCCTGATGTCACCAGAACACCACTTCCACGATGAGGCGAAAATGCTCCCAATTAGGGAGCCCAACACGATGCTCTGCAAGCAGTTTCTGGTTGGGAGCCACAGATGTGGCCACCCAAATAGACAGCTGCTTGCAGAGGAGCCCTCGCCGAGGCACGTCAGGAGGCATCTATAGGAACTGACGGACGAAGTCCAGAGGTTCATTAAGCAGCCTCTGGACCCGTCAGCTTACAGACAGACCCTGAACCGCATTCACAGGGACGCAGTCTCGAGTTAAGCAGACTCAAGACCTGTGAATGTCGTTCTAGGCACACAAACACCGGACATTGACGCGACGGAACTACATCTGCCTCGGGAGATCAGAACTACAATAGCCCAAGTTCGCTCTGGCTACTGCAGCAGGCTAAACTCCTACCTGAGCAGGCTAAATGCGGATATGCCGAACGAATGTCTGGCATGCGGAGAGACCCCTCACGACTCGAAACATCTCTTCGCATGCCCGGAAAACCCCACAACCCTAACGGCGTCGTCGCTATGGACCGACCCCATAGAGGCTGCACGCTTCTTGGGGCTGCCGTTAGTGGAACTCGACGACAACGACTGAGATATCAGCCGATCTGGGCGGGGTTGTTGTGGCCGCTACAACAACAACCACAACAACATAGTCTGGTCACATGAAATAACTATCGATAGTTTTAGTATTATCGCCACTATCGTTTCATTGATAGCGTATCCTCTTTCCTAGCTTTTGACATTTGCACGTATTGGTTCAAAGAGAACAAAACTTGGCAGCATTATTTCTTGAACGAACGAATAAAGATCAGCCAGGACGGTGTGCGGGAAAAAGTATTTTTTTTTTTTAAGTGACGTAATTTTTCCCTCGCCATGTGAATGAAACGGAATGAAACCGTGAGTGTGAATGAAACAACCGATTAAAAAATGACGTTATCAATTATTATTATTTTTTTCTCAAATCCAATTACAAATACACGGTTGCCGTGCTGGGTGATCTGTTTAGTTGGTTCATGGCATTATTTCTAAAAGCATCATATTATATTTTAAGCGTGGAAATCATGAACCAATTACAACAGATCTGACCGGTTGAAAAGCAGCCATTAGTAATAGCAGTTGAGAAAAAGTGTGTGACGTTCTTAATTTTAAAGTTTGCTATTTCTGTTTTGCTTCTTTCTTTATGTGTATTTTGTCCGTGGTTTATTTCGTTGATTTTTAAGCGATTTTCAATAAACTTTTTGTGCAAATGTAATTAAAATGAAGTGCGCGGTGATTGGTTGCAAAAACACGTACAAAAATAATAAATTGGTTAGCACAAACAATTGCTTGCATTTTTTTCTTTATGCTTCGTCTTCATATTCTTTGTTTGCTTTTCAAAGAAAATAATATGGCACCGAAATTACAAACGTCAGGCAGAAAATTACTTTTTTCTTTTGCTTCATCTTGTCAGATCTTGTCAGATGCGTGGAAATAGCAGAGGTTACATTGCCGTCTTAAGAGCGTGTCGGACGTGGCAACGCAGTATACTGGCAAGAGACTGTCAAATTGAGAAATTTCAGAAAGCAGTTGCATGAGCAGTGTCACCTTGCATGTAAAGTATTTTTCGAAAGAAAGGCGAATTGCAGGGAAAATTTCTGAAATCGCTTTTTGACTGTTTACACGGCGAATGAATTTCTATCAATATTTCTCGATACTAAAATGCAACCGTGAGCCTTTAAAATAAACAAATTTATAATACCAAGATAACGAAAAATAAATGGATTTAGAAAAACATATGAAATGGGTCGATACTATTGATTGCCACCCTTAAAACTATCGTAAAACATCGACGGACTTAACTATCGATAGTTTGACAGCTCTAGTGGTCCGGAGGCCCTATAAAATTAATGGTAATTCGTCTGTCCAATTAACTGCATTGTTAGAACATTTTAACTTTAGTGAACTTTAGTGTTCTATGGAATCGTTCTACCATCCCATATGCTTGACATATGCTTGAAGATGGTAGGATGATGTCCTGGTTCTTATAGCGCCTAGAAGCTTGCAAAGTTCTCGAAAGAGAATGGACTCAAATTGAGTACCTTGATCGGTTGTAATTCGAGTTGGTACACCGAACCTAGAAACATATTCCCTAAGCAAACATTGAGCAACAGTTTTAGCTCCATATCTTCGAAAGGATACGCTTCAGGCCATCTAGAGAAGCGATCAACAATTGACAAGATGTATCTGTATCCCTTTGATGGTGGTAAAGGCCCAACCAAATCCATATGTATATTATTGAACCGACCTGGAGGTATTGGAAAAATGTCTAACTGAGATTTTATGTCTTGTAACCAGTGTTGCCGTTTTGGTACTTTTAACTAATTTTGGTTATTTTTTTCTTGCCTGTGAAGTTGTTAAGATCTTTCCCATTTTGGTTATTTTTAGCATTTACTGTAGTTTCTAACTTTTGTATACATACAATAATTAAATCTTTGAATATACATTTATTCTGCTCAATATGGTTATTTAACTAAAGTTATTACTACTAAAATGGCAACTCAAGATTCGACTTATTCCGATAATAATCATGTGTTTACATATGCAAAAGGACAGTAAAAGTTCGAGGGTGCAACTATTATCGGTTCATGTCTTTAATACATCGCGATGAATTAATTGCCAAGTTTTTGAAACGGCCCCGCAGTTACACCATTTCTATGTTCTTTGCACACACCTACATAGAATTCCGCGCAAAATTGGTATTTCAACTTAATTAATACGGGCTCAATTCTATGGATAAGTGAGAAAAAAATACACAATTTTGGTTTTATTTTGCATATGTATTTCCAAAACACTTTTAAATTAGGTTCGTTATAAGACATAGGCCAGCTACACCTGTCAAGGTTGAGGAGAGTAGCAGCAGCAGTGGCAGCCCCAGCAGTGAAACCAAGTGAGAATATTTGGAATCATTGTGTTAATATTACTTGCAAATGTATGTATTTGTTTTATAATATGTGACACGTAAAGTTAATAGGGACCTACGGAGAGAAAAAATCGGTTTTCACTTTTTCATTGACTCTTATAGTAAACGGGCCACTCTTTCCAATGCAATAAATCGCAGCTTTCTAGCTGCATTAGTTTTTTCACAATTTCACTTCAAAGTTAGGTACTTTCACAAAAAAGTACAAAAAAATCAAATCTGACAAACTATTCTGAAATTAATCAAATTCGCCTGAAACTCGTTACTCGGGGGTTTTCGAACATCGGATTCGTAATCACTGACCTCGTTTTCGGTGTCAAAGACATTTTTGAGTTTCACATGAATCCAAAAAAATTTTAAATTTTTCCGCCATTTTGAATTTAAAAAAACGAACATCGGATTCGTAATCAGCGACACCAAAAACCCCCGGGTAACGAGTTTCAAGCGATTCCGATCAATTTTTAAAAAAGTCATCCGCCATTTTGAATTTTGGAAAACTATCATCGAATTTGTAAACAGCGACCCCGAAAGCCCCCGAGTAACGAGTTTCAATCCATTAAAACATTCAGAAGCATCAAAATCAACTTGGTAAGCTTCAAAGTCGTTTTTCTCGAAATCTTTTTTTCTGAGCGTAGGTCCCTTTTAAATTTACGTGTGACATATACAGAATACATAATATACTGCATACATACGGTACTGCGTTTGGCGTATACGAGGTACTTCGCGCTGAGTGACGATATAATTCAATACAGTCCAATTTTTAATTGTTTAATCTTAATTATAAAATATTTACAATGTGGTTGTTCACGCTGATTAGGTATTTCATTGATTCTTACAAAAAGAAGTTGGAAACTGTGTACCTATGTACTTATTTAAAAACGTTATTTAGAGTCTGGTAATGTTAAAGATGTTAACATACATATGCACCTAATACGGGAAGCCTGATTTTCTAAAATATGTATTTATATTTATACTTATATGCGAATGTATTTCATTTATTTTCAGCCTAAAAAGGGTTTACTTTTCACAAATGCAAATAAAAACTGATTTTCTTTGGTTTGTAAAATTTGTCTAAACGTACTATATAAAAGAATTTGTGATGACCTGAGTTGTTAATCTAATAAAAAATTGGTTATTTTTCCTTACTTTGGTAACTTTTTCGTAAAATCTTGGTTATAAAGTTATTTGAGCGGCGGCAACACTGCTTGCAACTTTACATTTTTGGCATTGTAACCATTGCTTAGACCATTTTTTTCGAGGCCAAAAATATAAACTAGTAATTTTCTTCCGAGTTGATCTAATGTCGGGTGGGAAATATTACGAATCAAATGAAATATTCTTTTTCGAACTGTGGAAGGAACATAAGGTCGGCATATGTTGGTAGATAAATCACACCAAAGAGACTTATTAAAGGAAAATTCCATTTGCCTTAATTGGTAGGAGGTATTTTCTGATTGACTAGCCCTTAAGTGTGATTTGTTCATCGAGTCCTAGTTCTTCTGCCAAGATTTCAAAGTAAGGAATATCCAAATGAATAGAATCTATTCCTGATCTTGACAGCGTATCAGACACAATATTATCAATACCTCTTATGTATCGAATATCTACAGTGAACTGCGAAATAGTTGGCGGGCTTGTCTGCGGGAACGTTCTGTTTGTGTGAGAAGAGCTGTTGTGAGTGGTTTGTGATTCGTGGGAACAAAGAAATCCTGACCTTCAACAAAATATTGAAAATGTCTAATAGCTTCATGAATAGCTAAGAGCATGGTGGAATAATAACATGGTTATTCTTACACCATGAGCTAAGAGTTCTTTGTCGAAAGCGGAATATTCGTTTGGGCTGGGTTTAATTGTTTGCTGAAAAATTACAAAGGTTGCCATTGATTGCAGACATATTAGTTGCGTTCCCCAACTTTTTTGGGTTAAGCTAAGAGTTCTTTGTCGAAAGCGGAATTGATTGTTTGCTGAAAAATTACAAAGGTTGCCATTGATTGCAGACATATTAGTTGCGTTCCCCAACTTTTTTGGGTTAAAACCTGTAAAACTGTCTAAAGGCAAAAGATGCCAGAGAACCGAGTACGGGAACGCTTTCTGGTAAATTCTTGCAACTTCTTGCGAGTTAGGGAACGCAACTATTGTTGCAGGACACCGCCTAATGCTGTGTTAGAAGCATGGTGACGATAGATACTGGGACATCTTTTTTGGAAATGGCAATAACGTTGCGTTTGACAAAGCCAACTTTTCAGCCTTGAATGCAATTTCACACTCTTCAGACCATGTAAACTCTCTAATACTCGAATTTACTTTTTGCATATTGGTGAGATGTGAATATAGGGGAGCTAAAATATTCGCAAGATTCGAAATGAATCGATGATAGAAATTAATCATGCCTAAAAATCTTTGTAATTGTTTGACAGAGGTAGGAGCTGGAAAGTCTGTAATAGCTTGAACTTTTTCTTCGGTAGGTCTAATCCCATCAATTGAAATCGTATGACCCAGAAAAACTAATGCTTCAACTTCAAATATACATTTAGAAGATTTGACCCTAGCACCGTAATCAACTAAACCTTCGAAAAGACTACGAAGATGTTCACTGTGTTGTTCATGAGATTTGCTGAAAATCAGTATATCATCGAGATCAACATACACTAAAGCAAGACCTCTGACTACCTGATGCATAAAACGCTGGAATGTTTGAAAGGCATAGTTGGAAATTCACATAAGCCGAAGGGTGTAACGATCGCTGTTTTGTGTATGCCCTCTTCTGCTATCGGAATGTGATGATAAGCGTGACAAATATCTATTTTTGAGAAAATTCGAAATATCTTGCATATGCGTAATAGGATATCTGTCGGGAGTTGTAATTGCGTTGAGTTTTCTATAATCGCCAAAAGGTCTCCAGTCATCGGAACCTTTGGGAGCCATGTGTAGTGGCGAAGAGCATAGTGATGAAGGACGACAGATTCCTTTTTGACACATAAAATCGAATTCTTCTTTGGCAATTTTAAGTTTTGTAGGATTGAGTCGTCTAGCTTTATAGATAGGCAAATGATTCTTTGTAATTATGCGATGCACAACATTGTGTTTAACAGGAAGGTTGAAATCAATTTCATCAGCAAAATCATTCAATATATCACCACAATTAGAATCAATGTTAAAAAATTTTGGCGCAGGAAACTGTTTTGCTTAAAGAATTCCTGTAACTTCTAAATATGTTCGTTTTTGGAACAATAAGTTTCTTGTGTTTTATGTCAATTACAAGACCATACTTATTTAGGAAGTCGGCACCAATGATAGGTTCTGTGATTTCAGCAATGAAAAATAAGTGTGGAAATAAAGTGAATAATTCTGATCCAAGCTGTTTATGCTTGTATCGTTTGCTGCGGAAAGAACTTGTGTTGGCACTTTTGAAATTTTAGAGCAAAGGGGTTTCAATTGGAATTGATGCCAACGTTAAATCAAAGAACGTAGATAACAAGAAGGGACAACTCGTTATAATTGTGGCGACAGTGCGCAACAGAGGCGTGCCTTCTCTTTTGCCCTAGTGCGTTTTTTCGATTGGATGAAAAGAGAAGGCACGCCCCTGTTGCGCACTTTCGCCACAATTATAACGAGTTGTCCCTTCTTGTTATCTACGTTCTTTGGTTAAATGTCTTTCCAATAGGTTTTAGTTCACTTTAGTGATGTCGCATTGCCTTGTAGCCAGGACGAACTATTTTCAGTGATCCGATTTGCAAATATTAAACAAATCCGCTTAAAGATGTGAGTTTTTTCTTGATTCACGGTTTCAAGGTTGGGAGTTGTTCAAAAATCTCCGCAAATATTTCTTTAAATTGAAATTCTCAAAAGAGTTTGTCCTTTGTCGGGGTCACCAATTATTAATTAATTATTAAGAAAGAAAATTTTCTTAAAATGTTTAATGATGATTGTTTAAAGTTTCTTTTTTTTCTGGAAAAATATTTTACATTTTCTTGCCAGTACTTTTCGAATCCTGCTTGTTCTCTTTTAAAAATTAGAGTTTAAAACAATTAAAGTATTCAAAAGTATGTTCACATATAAATATTAATCAATCAAAGCTCGTTTTTTAATCACCCCGTTTACACAGGCAAATCTCAGATTATTAGCCGTCAAATTTGTTGTGCTTGTTATTCTCACATCTCAAGAAAAAGTTATGCTTCTTCTCTATGCCAACGTGATCACGTTTTTCTGATATATAAAGCAATATAAATATATTTCAACTTAACATTTTATTAAAAATACCTTTTCAAACCTCTTTTCATTGCTAGCGTCCATTTTTGTTTACTTTTACATTTGGCATTTCTCCTCTTTTTCGCAAAAAGGATAGATAAAAATAGGATGGACACTGAAAAGTTATCGGTTAAATCTGAGATTATTTTATAATTACAGATTAACAAGGGATGAATTTTATATCGCTAATCTCTTTTTCTAATTACAGATTAGGGTGGTAAGCTCGAAAATGAGGATAATATACTTATATGTGAACCTAGTATAACAGCCGTTGCAGATGTGACGTCATAAGCGAAACGAAAATTTACCACAAAGAGCAAAAAACGAATAATTAAGTAAAAAAAGGTGACTTACAAATTTAGTGTTCAGTGGCGAGTTTCAATAACGATATTGCAGACAAATCTTTGATGAACAACTATTTGTCCTTTCCGTTTCCTGTGGCTTTGGCACAGAAGTTGATTAGTTCCTGCCGGCGATCAAGTCCTTTCAACCACAAAATAGCTTTATTTGCAAAAGAAATATTCACTGAAATTGTAACTAAGTTTTTATTATTTATTATTTTCTTTTTGATATTCAGCAATATATCGCACACCGTCGTCAAAAGAGTCACAACTCAAAATTTTTTTAATAGAAAACACAAAGCGACTTTAATTTTACCTAGATATTTTGGTCCACAGCTTTTCCAATTAGGCAACTTTAGGTCACATATATGTCTGACACATTTACTTAACTTTTTCTTCTAATATTTCTCATAATAAATTAATATATACCTTGTTTATACCTACGCAAGAACCGTATTAACAAAAACCTGATTTGCCTCAACACATATTTCTTTCAAGCATTTATACCTGTGTCGTTATAGCGCACTCGCTGGAACCGTATTCAAAAGTAAACAAAATTTGTTATTTTTATTCGACATTTCTTAATTAATTAATTTGCGCGGTATACCGAAATGAAAGCGAACATTAATTCAAATTTGTTATAATAATAATTCAAATTTAAAACGGGCTGTATAAAGAAAACCAGCCTTTTTTCACTTCGCGTCAAATGAGTGATGTGTTTATACCTGTTTTCTAACCGATGTGAGAAGTAAAAAAGCGATTTGAAAACAAATTCGAGTCAATACACTTTCGAATTTCTGAGCGCATTGAAAGTTGGTTTATGCTTCCGTTTTGAATCACAGCGAACTGGGTCAAAGCGCTTTATGTGTTGGTATAAACAAGGTAATAGTTTATTTTACAATTTTACGTGAATGTTCTCAATTTTGTTTATCATTTGTATGAATTTTTGCTACTTCTTCATTGTCATTTGTACTGTTTCGTTCATGCCGTCACAGCAAGGCTCAGGGCGCAATCAAGGCGCATCAATTACAGGTGATAGCGATAGAAGCTATGCTTCTTCTTATGAGCACGCTTGTGTCAAATTATCGTCTGTTTTGATTTATTTACATATCCGCTTATACATACACATATACGTATATATATATCCTGCAAACATATGCTCCCGAAATCTTTAAGAGTGTTGGAAATTTGTTACGATTCTTTTAGAAATCCGTAAAGAAAAACATATGAAGCGGTTGACAAGAACTAGTAAAGAAATTTCTGTACGATTTCTTAAAGAAAATTCTTAAAAAAATTGTGAAACCTTTCAGAATTCTATGAAATCCTGGTTTGCAGGGTATACATATACACACGAATATGAATAGATAAAGAAGATGTTGATGACATAAGGAGTTCATACCAACGGTAAATGTTGTTTTTGTACGATTGCTACAACCTGTAGTTGTTGAATCATTGGCGAAATCTTCTTTTCTATAATTCTTACTTGGAATAC